GCTAGATGTGTCAAAGAATGGGAGCCAGACGAAGTACACTCCCTAGTCCTCCAGCTTGGCAATTGGGCGTTGGGACTAATGACCCGCACTCCGGAAAAATTTACTGTTACGAAACTATGCAGGAGGTCAAGACGCACACAGAATTGTAGTGCCAACACATAGAATGCATCGGAATGTTCGTGGCTTGTGCCAGTAAGGTTATTTGTCAGTCTTATGAAATATGCTTGATTATATTTTTCCTTTTCACATAGCAGCCTCTAATTCAATTAGAACTGCTTTCACATGTACTCGTTAATGACATACAGCTAATGTACGCGATGACGCAATGATCAGTACGTCATTATCATGCGAAGGCATAACTTCCCTGTTGATAAGAAAATTGCTGGTCAAGTTCTATGTCAAGGCCACAGGATCTCGTCGAAATCAAGTCCGGAGACTTCTTAACGGTTTTCATCCACTAACACAAAGTTTTAGCCGTAAAAAATGAAAAGTACTCCGTGCTTAATTAAATGAACACTACGCCATGAAGACGCATGAGGGAGTGGAGGTGTAGCTCCACCATTACTGACCTTGGCACTAGATGGAATTTAGTGGTTAGCTTTACACCTCTGCAGCTTCACCCCCGTAGAAACACCCCCTGTTACTCATTGGATAGGAGACCCTGATTCAGTATGGACACTGTAGAGGAGAGAAAGATCTCTTGCCTCTGCCAGGAATCGAACCCCAATTACCTGATCGTCCAACCCACAGTCTGTCGCTATACCGACCATAGCATATTAAATCCGAGATCTTAACCTCTCGTCCATTAAACGTAAGCGGTCAGCAACAATTTTGAGCCGTCTCAGGCTTCAACTGGCTACTTCCCCGCTACAGCTGAACTTGACAGATAAAACCGTGTATTACCATATAATGTAAAGCTATCCCTGTAACAGGCCATGGAGGTCCATAGGTTTGTGAGACGTTGAGGCTCCCACATTTTCTATAGACTATCGGCTGACATATGGCGGTGAGGTTGTCAGCCTTACGCGCCGGCCGTCCTTTAATCCCCAGGAAGATTCCTGGTACTCATTTATGTTAGAGGCTGAGTCGCCATAGTGCGGCTGGAAGGATTAGGTCAATTGAAAGAGATCTACCTCATTCGGACCCGAACCCGCGACCATCCGGCTTGTAGCATAGTGCCTCAACCAACTACACTGCCGATCTTATAATGTAGCCACAATAATTAACATGTTCACTTATGACAAAGTTAGATGATTGTCCTTGAAGCTAGCCGAGGTAATAGGAAAGTGGCTGGCAATGTATTTATACTGATATGGGCGCGTGATGCATGAAACACGAAAAGATAACAGATCCTGTCTCTTCACTGTGCTCAAAGTTCAGCTGATGTCATGGTAGGGGCTGCGCAGTAGTTTTCCCAGTGAGTTGTGTTACAGAACCTCACTGAATGCTGTTTTTCCAATGGACCCAGCTGCGTCACTCTACGACTGCTCAGGTACGGACACTAACAAAGGCGACATGTAAGAACTAAAAATTTTGTTATTCTTGTTACATGGCACCCCAATATTTTTCTTTTCCATTAAAATGTAAAACTACACACACAACGACATTAGTCGTACGGAAAAATGTCGTACGATTTTTCTGACGTACGACCTCCTTTTAACACTAGAGCGACCAAATACATTTCTTTGCTGTCCGACTGCCGTACGGTAGATGTCGCCGTCACGTACGAAAGCTAAGACTACACTTTATATTACTTGATGCGACATGAACCGTACGGACGTCGTACGGCCGATGTCGCTGTGTGTGTTCATAGCCTAAGGGCAGAAGGTTGTTCCATAGTTCGGGCGGGTTTTTTTATTGCTAGTGGAGTCCCTTGTACTGCGGCCACTTCTGGCCTATTGTACCAGCCCCAGATGATAGGTGAGGGTGATTGTGGAGCAATTGGTGGAATGAAGATTGGCAGGGCAGACCGAAGTACTCGGAGAAAACCTGCCCCAGCTCCACTATGTCCACCACAAATCCCACTTGACCAAACCCCGGCCGCCGCGGTGGGAAGCCAGCGATTAACCGCTTGAGCTATGGCGCGGCCCATAATTAAGCAGTTAAAACAAGGGGGATGAGATGGACGGAGCATGTAGTATGCATGGGAGAGAGGATTCAACCAGCCTCCTATCCGAAGAGTGACAGACAGAGAATCTTTGGCAAGAAACAAAAAGATCGGCTTTTCGAACTTAACTTTATTTGATTTGGTCGTAGGAATGCGTGTAATTTTACCACCGTTCCTGTGCAACTCCATAGCATAGCACCTAGGGACATAGCTTTAATTCCATTCGGCACGTCGGCCCCTCTTTGGCCTATTGTACCTGCCCCGGATGATCATCATGGTGAAGAATTTGGTGGAATGAACATTGGCAGGGGAACCGAAGTACTTGGAGAAAACCTGCCCCAGCGCCACTTTGTCCACCACAAATCCCACTTGACCAGGCCCGGGCTCGAACCCGGGCCGCCGCGTTGGGAAGCCAGCGACTAACCTTTAAGCTACTGGCATAATTTAAGTTCGCGAAAATTAATTATTTTATTGCCTAAAAGATATTGTACACTATCTTGGATATTTGCAGAAATCATTTAAGATATTTATTGAGAAATTGTTAAATTAAAGAGAAGTATTATGCGTAAACATAGTCAAAGTATATACCGGTCGGTTAAAAGTGTAAAGTAAAATAAATTTTCCCCGTGCTTAATTAAGCATCATGTCATGAAACACATTGGAAAGTGGAGGTATTCTTACCTCGGTATTAGATCGAGGTGAGTGGTCAGCTTCACGTCCTGACCGCTTTAGTCCCGAAGAAAGAAAGAATCCGCGATATCCATTTGATGGAAGGCTGGATGGGTTCCAGAGCTGGTCTGGAAGTTATGGAGAAGATAAAATTCTCTTGCATCTCCCGGGAATCAAACCCCTATACTCCAGTCGTCCAACCTATGGTCTGGTCTCTGCATCGAATAAATTATCCAGGCTGTCCAGCCAGAAATGTGGGTATCCAAAAATGTTTGTGTTATTTAAAATGAAATAATAGAACTACAGTGTGTTTACTGCTGTGTATTTTTTGTTTACCGGACAAACTTTCAGTATTTCAGGCCATAGGACGATTAGTCACTGTCAATGACTTGGGAAATATGTGGCAGGAAGATTCTGACGTGTAATTCTTGGTGCTAAGCTGACATTTGCGTTAAGGACTTAGGAAAACCATGAAAAATCACAGTTAAGATAGTGGTCATCATGCCAAAACTTGAACTTGGAACTTCCTGAATATGAAATAAGAATGATACCCTCTCCAGTAACTTTATTGTACTTCAGTAAGAAAGAGTCTTAATTCAGGGCCATCACTGACACGGTGACTGAAGCGGTATGAAAATAAAATTGCCACCAATACCACTAGTAGCAACAGCAGCAGGACATGTCAAGATAATGTGAAAAGTCATTTAAAATAAAATATTATTTTATTGAAGCATATCTATTGAATTCCATCTAAATATTAACCCAGATGCCGTCTAAAATAACAGACACTTGTAAAATGTGTATGAATAATTCCAATTTTAGACATCAGAAAAATACAGGGTGATTCATATAGAACCGGCCCAACGAAATGAGGTATAATATAAAATATACCATACAGATATTAAAGTAATTTACACATATCTTATCTTGGATTGTGTGCCGTGATCAGAGCGGGTGTTGAAAGTGTCCAACGTTTTCAAGTAGGCATTAGAAACACTCGCTGTTCAACAGTGTACTCCATGACTGTCGCCTGCCCACTGCAGACACGTTTCGGCATTGTCCTTGAACTTGCAGCATAAGGGCTGCCACTTGCTGGATCATGCGCACACCATTCGACTCAGCACGGCCCATGGATTATTATGTCATAATTGTGAGTGGTTATATGCATCACTTGCGGAATTATTAGCAAATTCATCAGGCCGGTTCTATACGATTCACCCCCATACATACAGATAAGATGCAACTGAACTAATCATACAAATTTTATTTTTGGGAATTTGATAATTTATAACTATTTTAAATAAAAGTGTTTAAATTTTGCCAATCTAAGCAAAACAATAAACACCAATAAGTAAATAACGTTATTAAACCTAAGACAGAAATTGGTAAATTCCTTTCATTCCCTTGGCCTTTGAGTTGCCTTTCAAGATCTTATAAATTATGTAATTAATTCCATTTAGCAGAGTTTTTGAGAAGCTATACTCAATCAGTCACGCTTTGTGGTACTCAGATGTTTATAATCACACAGATTTATGGTCTTCCAAGTTGTGACACTATGTGGACTTGTGAAAGGTTACCATTGTTTCAGGGAAACATGCTGCTTCTGTCTTCAGCAAATTCAAACTGAAAATGTTTCAATACTTTCTAGCTTTGTATTGACCACATAACTGATTAAGTAACTGAGTGCATAAATAAATACATTTATCAGTAAACAAACGCAAATAATTAATTAATAGTGAGTGAATGATTAGTAAATAGAAGCATGACTGAATGAAAGAGTGTAGTAATTAATTAATACCAGTTAGTACCACAAAATTTTCAATGCTGTGATCCAGGACATTAAAATATCATGAAAGCAGAAATCATGGAACCGGTATGACAGTTTTTTTATATATTTGGAAAACTCACACTCTCAACTTAAAACCTGTATTTCCATTTCCAAGTTTACTGTGCTAATGAACACTGAAATCATCATCCTTGTACATCAAGTGCATCACCATATGCAATTTTAAGTGAAGTGTGTTTTTTTATTCATCTTGTATGTTGAGCATGCAGCCCTGTGAAGCTCAGTAGTGTAATTCAAATGCAGTATTCTCATTTCAGCCAGTTATATAAGTGCGCCATGCCACCACTGAAGCAGCCACCATCATTGGAGTCCATAGTGCTACAGTCTGTAAACAAATTCACACTGGCTCTTGGGCACAAACTACTTGATGAGGTGTGTTCAGGTACACCAACAACTGTACCACCAACCAGATGGGGGATGTCTTCTAATTTTGTGAGCAAGAAGCCTTCTGAAATTCTTAATTCACAAGAAATGCAACATTTCTTTCACCCAGGCCTGCCTCTGTATCTGTCAAATGCAGTGACTTCAGTTGCATTGAAAGCTATCACTACAATAATCTCGCAGGCAAAGTGTACGCATGATGGCTTCTCGAAGAGCGGAGATGACAGTTGTCGGGAAATTGTTGAGAGCTTAATCTCCATCGTACTTCGTGCTCAGCTGACACATTTTGATCTGTTAAAATGGCCGTGGTTCATAGGGGAGACACTGCTCAAGCATTTACACATTTTCCATCATTTAGAAGTTCTCAAACTGTGGCCTGTAACTTGGAGTCCCGTCTGGGCCACTGTAGTGGAAGTGCTTCAGGGCGGCTACTGCTCATTAAGCAACCTTGTATCATTCAGTATGAGATGTCACTGCACAGACAAGATTCTCATACTGATGGTTTCCTGTACCAGACTCCAGTACCTTGATGTGATGTCTTCTGTCGAAGTAACAGACTTGTGTGTCAGTTCACTTCTACACCTGAACAACTTAAAAGTAATGAATATGTGTAGCACATCACTCACAGCAGTGGGCTACACTAGACTATTAAATGGATTGCCACATCTCGGCAAGTTAGTGTGGTTTGACCTGAATAGCAAGGCACTGGGAAGCATGAAGACTTCACCTCTCAGTCTCCTTAGTTATGAAGCTAGCAGAGTGTCACTCAATCAGCTGATCATCATAGTTCGTATGTGTCCATACCTGATACAGATCAGTCTTCACTGGGTTGAAGCTGACCTATCAGTTCTTGGAGAACTGAAACAACTTAAAGAAATAAAAATTGCACACTGTAGTGCAGTTAACAGTAATCTGAAAGGATTATTAGAAGTTGTAGGTTATAATATTGCATCACTGGAACTACATGAGATGAAAGATGTGGATTTGTTGATGATTGGTGCTCTGTGTATAAATCTTAAGAGAATGGGCTTAATGTGTGACTTCAAGGCTTCTGAAGAATCATTCTTAGCTATAAAAGAACCTCTGTTCAAAGAACTGGAAGATCTTAGGTTTGGTTCAGAATATTCTGAATGTCTGTTCTTCAGTTGCATAAATATTAGGAAACTGGAGGTTTCAAAATGTCAGAATTTCAATGATCATGTGGTGGCAGCATTGCTGACAAGGAATCCTCTAAAGCAGTTGGAAGTACTGTCAGTAGGTCACAGTGGACTGCTCAGTATGAACACAGTGCATCTCCTGTTGGAATCCTGTGATAATCTTAGAGTGCTTGAGGGTTTAGAGAGTTGGGGGGGTGTTACCAAGTCACAGGTCATGGAACTATGCGCAGACATGAAAAGAAAGAATATGGACATTGAAATACTGTGGAAGAAACCACTCCAAATTAGTTGGTAGTGCTACCAGATATTGTCTTTAAAGGAAGGAAAACTGGTCGTCTGTTTATGTCCATTGATATAGTTACACTTATGTTCCAACATTGGTTGGTTTTACACACACACACACACACACAATAACCAGCTCCTTCTAAAGAGCTCAGCTGTGCAGCAACCTCTCTTCCTTATACCTGATGATGGAGAAAATCTAATCTGTGAAAGGTTATGTTTCAGAAAACAGAATATGATTGACTCGTGTACTTAGCAATATAAATATAAATGTACTGCTATATATGTTTAAAGCTAGGTTCATAGATTCAGTAGTTATAAATTTTAAACTGAGTTTAGATTTTGGAAGTGAGACATGGTTTATAAAGAAAATACTGACACAGAAGGGGAAAAGAAAAAGGCGGAGTACTATGTGCTTATATGAGATTTCGAATTTTATTGCCTGGAGTAACTTTATGATATAAGGTAAACATAAATTTGCCCCTATGCTTAATTAATTAAGCACCACGCCGTGAAGACTTAGAGGAGAGTGGAGGTATAGCTCTGACATTCTTTGCGTTGGAACTAAATGGAGGTCAGTGATCATTTTAACTCCCTTGCCGCTGTGAAGAAGAGAAAAATCTTGCCGCTGCTGGGAACCGAATCCTGCCCGTCCAACCCTAGCCCATCCCTGTACCGACCAAGTTGGGAATATGAAGTAAAGTAAAAAAAAAATTAAACTATCCTTGTAACAGGCCATGAAGGCCCATAGGGTTTTGAGACGTTGAGGGTCCCACATTATCTAGACAATCGGCTCAAAGATGGCGGTAAGGTTGTCAGCCTTACGCACCGGCCACGCTTTACTCCCCAGGGGAATATGAAGTAGTAATAAAAAATAGATATACAGGAAATTGAGAATTTATAGAAGTAAATAAATATATGTGAAACTGAAAAGTTTTAAATATGACTAAGTAATTGACAGGGAAAATTAGCATATCTATGTAACTCCAAAGGACAGACAGACTTGGGAAAATCCTGATATATTTGGCAAGAAAAAGAAGTAAAACTTATTACAGTAGCCACGGGGATTATGGGGTTTCCGGTTTTGGACAGCTCAAACATTGAACTTGCTGATTGGAATGGACATGTCCTCTCGTTTTTCTGTATTTTGTTTTCGTTTATAGGTAAATTCATTGTAATGGACCGATCTGCCATCCAAATGTTACTAGCACATGTCTATTGGTGCACTGTTTAAGCACTATGAATAAGAAGAGGCCACAGGTAGCGGGAGAAGAAATGTAAACATAACTGTCGAAGAGGGAAGCACCAATGTACACCAAATGAAGAACAGTATTCCATTAAGAAGAAGCAGGATGCATAATTCTGTGAAAAGTGAAAGAGGTAAATTACATTGAAAGCGTTTCCTTACTTGAACTGCAAACTTACTGAATAATTTGGAGGTCATATGGACGAAAATGTTGCTGTGTTAAAGCAAACATTCAGTCTCCCAAGTTCTTTTAAGTAGATATAAATAAAATGTGGCATGTGTATATAGAATGGCAGAATTAGGGGTCTTAGTATAAACTGCACTACAAACGGAACTTACGTCGAAATAATAATTTACGACAAAAATGTATACGTACACTGTTATTTGTAAGTTATAGCTACTTTTGTTTGTCTTTCACGTTCAGATAATGGGCGTCGAAATTTAGATATCCCATTCTTTTATTGAAATTGTGTATATTATCGCAGTGAATGTCGGAACAATGACCACCATCTTTGTCCTTTCCCCCCCCCCCTGGCACTACAGCCCCAGTGGGCCTAGGCCTACTTCCATGAATTTCTCCGTTCAATTCGGTTTTTCTAGATCTTACACGTTCGGTAGGACTCCTTGGGCGGGTGATCAGCTCGTCGCAAAGCCTCTACCTGTACACACACACAAACTAAACATCCATACCCTGAGTGGGATTCGAACCCACGATCCCGGTTTCCGAGCGAGCGAAGACAGTACATGCCTTAGGCCGCTCGGCTACCGTGACGGGCCTCTGTCCTTTTTCTAGGTCAAAAATGAACAACGCTGTCATTACTTAGTTATTATATTGTCCATTGTATAAGGTATGTTTGACATACGCCTACCCGACGTTCCAGGAATTCGATTTATTTCAATCTTGTTGTGACTGGTTTTCATTATACTGATACATTTGTTGTAAGATTTGAGGTTTTCACGGCGGTGACTATGAGGAATGCCGTCTTCTGGGATGTGGTGCCGTGTAGATCAAGTGTAAACCGACGTTTCGGAGGGACGTAACGCCTCGTCCCGATGGAGGTGATACGTTCCTCCGAAACGTCGGTTTACATAATATCTACACGGCGCCACATCCCAGAAGAAGGCATTCTTGATACATTTATTATTACAAGTTTATATTATATATTGCAATCGTACCCGCAGTCGTTTGGGTACGAGGCCAGTATGCTAGCCACTAGAAGCTTTGCTTTCGTGAGAAATTCTAAAATACAAAACATTCAAATTACAAATAAATATTTTGCGCTCCATTTGGACGGAACCGGAAGTAAGGGAGAAACCGGCGCGGTCGCCCCTGGGCCACCATAGAACAGAAGTAGAATCCACAGGTTTCACTGAGGCATTTACTTTTCTAAAATCACGAAAGATTAATTTATATTTTTATTTACTGTAAGTGTTGTGTTGTTACTAATGGGGGCCTGCACGTTTCTGATAGCTCCGGGGTACCCAAAACTGTAAACCCGGCCCTGCATTTGACGACATATCTTCAGTGTTCAGGTAGTTCCCACGTAACGAGCATTTACGTGGTACGTACGATTCTAGATTTTGAGAAAAATAATGGGCTACCTCTACCGTAACCGCATCTCAAAACAGATAGCAGTAGCTTACAAAATAATCCCTTTACTTAATTAGCTTCAGCCCCCGGTACCTACTGGACAGAAGATTAGGTGGGCCACATAGCCGGTCTGGACGGTATCGAGAAAAGAAGAATATTCAAAAAAAAAAAAATATATATATAT